GGGGGGGGGGGTTCAGGGACCCCTTACAGGGAAAAAAAGTTCCAGGGGCCCTCTCATATCCCTCATGTTTATTAAATAATTCTCTTCAATTTGTCTCTTTAATGCAATGGAAATATTTGTGTAACATAAATACTTAACATATGTTCTTTAATAGTGTTAATACAACTTTTATACTTTTCAACATATGGTATTTTTCATTCAAGACGCACTTAATTAACAAAATTTAATTTCAACTTCCAAAAATTACAGTTTTGAGAAAATTCACAGCATCAAAAACTACTTTAAAACTTTACCTATTCACATAATGAACATAATAAACGCATTGCCACTTCTTCAATTACAGAAAACTCTTTACATAAACCTAAACAGAATCATAACAGCAGCAGTCATACCAAGTAACAGGGCTTCATTAGAAAACTAATCGATGTGGGAACACAAACAGCTTTACAGTCTGGGGTGCCAGGTTCTCATTGTACGAGGAAACTAATATCGTGGTCACCTGTGATCCTGTGTCCAACAAACTTAACTCCATCCACAGCAACATTAACTGTGCACTTTTCGCCAACTAACCCTCTTGGAGTTTTGGCCCACTGTGGGGAAAGGGGTTGTATGACGAGGCATTCAGAGAAGCTTTATGTGAGGTACTTTCAGCAATAACAGTTCCAGTCTGTCCCTCAACTGGAACCGTTTTTACTTTTGCTCTTCTCAGACCCTTTGCGTTGCTTTAAGTTATTTCCTCTTGGACTCAACTAGATCAGGATTAGGCTCATTGGGGCATGTGGTGGTAATAAGGCCGTCCTCACCACAGGTAAAGCAGTACCAGGGGCGTAGTCTTCCACCACTCTTGCTTAGTTTTTCATCTACTGGTGTGTAGCTAGCTTCAAATGTTTATTTTTGTTTACTTTTCTTTGACTGTGGTGCTTTTGTCTGAAACTTTTCTGGCATTAGCTTACCTATGGAAGCTTTGAGGGATGTAAGCTGACTCTGAAGTTCAGCGATCTGCTTCTGAAGTTGCTTTCTAGTCACCGTGTCTGTTGCGTCATCAGTGCTAGCTGTCATGTCAATATCTGAGTACACATTGAAGGGATTGGACTGCACCTTTAATTTTGTGAGTCCCAAAATGCTGCTTCATGCATATTTTGCAGCCCGTTCAGCCTCCTCTGTTCTCAGCCACAG